ACACATACTAAAGCGCGGATGACGCTCGCGGTGTTTTCGGCCTGCCGTCTCACTATATGATGATATGAACACGAATGTCATCTCCAGCTGCTTTGAGAGTCACTTCATTAGCATTTATCGTTTCATTTGAGAAATCTACCGTCATATCGCATACAACAACAGCTGGAAGTTCTTCACGGCAACCCGTCAAAATAAAAAGTTTTGTTTAACGTTCTACTGTCAGAATATATTACTATTTAGCAGTCTTAAGACTCAATGCTACTACTGCTAATAAATATGAATAAATCTTTATTTTTAAAGGAATAATCACATCTGTTTTCTTTTTAATTTTAACAGTAAACCTCTGTTGTGCAGCACTTTGTTTGCCAAAAAATAAAAGGGTTTAATTTTCATTTGATTAGGATAAATTAAATTAATGTTTTATGCCTTCATCTGATTACCAGAAAAATTAAGAACATTTTATAGGGCCCTATTATTGTTTAAAAAAGGACCCTATACAAAAAAAAAAGAATAGGTTTAAAATACAGGCATGTGGTTCTTAATTTCTTTTTATTAATTCACCATTTGTAAACTGATGTTTACTGTTCATTTTTTAGAAATATCAATAGCATTAGAATATAATCAAAAAAAAATCGAGAATCAAATCGAATCTAGAGCTTGCGAATCGAAATCGAATCGAATCGGGACATCTGAATCGATACCCAGCCCTATTGGGAAATGTCATGCCCTTTGCTCATGCTGTGAGCTTCAGTGTAAATATTGCGTCAAAATTAAATAAATTTGAGTGCGATTTAAACCCGGATGATTGTAACCACTCTAAGTTCATCTGCCTTGGGAAAGCTAGCGTGTCTCCGACATAGTGATAACACTCGTTGCCTTCTCTAGTGCAGCTCAACCAGACTATGCGTTGTAGTCCAAACGAGTCGTTCGTTGCAGTTTTTGAAAAGTGATTTCTGTTAAATAAAATATCTCCTTTTCAAGTGGACTTTGAGCTTTGTAACTTTGCAGACCTTTTTTATGCTCAAACAGCAATATTACTGACTAACTAAAGCTGAAAAAGCATAATGGGACCTCTTTAAAATTCACAATCATTCCATGTGATTCACACACCTGCATACTAGCGGGGGGCACCCGGGTCCTCTTTTCTGTTGGGGAATGTGGATCTTTGGAGTATTTAAGCTGTGTCAGTCTGATTTTATCATACCGTGAGCTCCACTGTCACACAGTGGTTTCTGAGGCGGATGGGCTATGTGTGAACGTGTGCACATGTAGAGATGTGATGCAAGATGGCATATGTCTAACTCGCATTAGATCACTAACATGGAACAGTGCATATTAAACATCACTCCACCTGCTGACCAAGTCTCAAGGACTCTCTCTCTGCAGTTAGACAGACAGAAAGCTCGGCGTGAATTATCCTAACTAAAATGAACAGACCACAGTATAAAATGTCTGGTTCAGTTAAGTC